ACGGAGAGTGTACAATTTTCTCTTAAGAAAAATTTTATTGTGCAGCGATGTGGCCTCGTACAGTTTGGTGAGATGATCTCATATCTCCTTAGTTGTCTTTTTCTCCTCGATGCTTGACAATACTTCATCTGCTAATGCTAGATGAAAGTTTGACATAGCATTCCGTCCATTTCGATCCATTTGCTGTCATCTGCAAAATCCATCGGGCTTTCACTGATAGCCGCTAGACACCCCGTCTTTCCTCAGGATGGCCTTCATCTTTAATTTCCACAATGAGAAATTTCTCCCATTGAACTTTTCAATATCAAATTTCGTTGCCATAGCTTCTTTTACGGATAGCTCCCATTATTTCACTATCATGAATAGTTCTCTGGAACCTTCAAAGAATGGGTAATAACTTCTTACTTTCTTATGTTGGAGGATCCACCTTTTGGTGGCAACCACAAAGACAATAAGCAGATATTACACACTCTAATCTAGCTCTGATACCAATTGTTGCGGAAGACGGCTATCGGATAGAGCAAAATCGCAATTGATAATTTGAGAAAATAAAAATGAAGATAAAAGAGACACAAAATTTACGTGGAAAACCCCTAAAATATTTAGGGTAAAAACCACGGGCAACGGTAGAAGAATTTCACTATGAGAAAATATGAATTACAACCTCTTACGATCTACCAATGAGAAAACAATAATAATTTTCTCTAGATAAAAAGGAGAAAACAACTCTCAAGAAACTCTCTAAAATCTCTCTAGTATTGGAAGAAAGCTAGAATGATTTGGGATGATTTTGAAGCTAAATGAGCTATGATATTTATAGTTGAAACCTAAGGACTAATTTGAAAATACCCTAAAATTTAGTGACTAAATTGAATTATCTCATTTTTTATATTTTCAACAAAAGGGGTCATGCACCTTTCGATGCATTAATTTAGGCACCTTTCGGTGCTAGTCAACATAATTTTCGGTTTGATCTTACAATGCCTTTGGACTCGAAGGAATCAATTTATTTTTGACCCTGAGTTTGTGGAGAGCGTGTTACAAATCGTAGTCGTCAAATGTGTGATGAAGCTCCCTATTTCCTTGATCTGCATGGTTCACATATGGCTAGATGTTCTATTTCGCAGCATTCAGAAGACAACTGGGTTTTACCTGCCCGAAACTCTCATACCGGCACAGCAGCTTACGATGGAGTTTTACAGGACTCTAACGGCAGCTGGGTGAGTGGGTTTGCGAGAACTCTAGGCCGCTGCTCGGTGCTTGACGCATAATTATGGGGAGTCTATGAGGGTTTAGAGGTTGCCTGGGACCTCGGTTTGCACTACGTAGTGGTTGAAACGGATCGCAAGGAAACCTTTGATCTACTCCAACAAGGCACGGATATGGCGAGGATCTCGCACTTGGTGCCTCACTTGATTGATCTTCTCTCTCGGAATTGGCAGCTTCGCTTTACTCATGTCCAGCGTACAAATAACCGCACTGCTGATGCCATGGCCAGAGTGTCATGAACACTCCCGTTTGGTGCAAGTAGATTTTCTTGACCACCTGAAGCTGTTAGCCCCTTTCTACTTAATGATCTAGCCACTGCTGCTTGATATTTTACACACCTCTTCGTATTAGAAAAAAATAAGAAAAATGGAAAATTAAACAAACATTTGATCACGGAACATAATTCAATGTTTTTCTTTGTAAAAAGAAATCAAAGGCCCCAATTGATAAAAGTTAAAGCCCAATAAGAAGATAAGCCTTAATGAAGAAGTACGAAAAGGTTAAAACGCCGTCGTTTCATGAATCAAACGGACCAAACCACTATTTAGAAAAATTCGATCAGTCGAGCCGACGAAATTGCATAAAAAAAAAGAGAGGAACAAAGTGGTTCGATATTGATTTCGTGGAAGGGAAAGCCCAAGAAACACTCGTATAGAGAAACATGCTTCAAATCAGACTCAGCAAGGGACCGTCCTCGGATGCCGGCGGTTCCGTCAAGTCATTGCCTGTGGACACGGTGACGGTGGCCTGCCCCAACCATCTCGTCCTCGCCGACCTTCCGGTTGCCAAGAGCATTGGCGCCGCTACCTCCTCCTCCCTCGTGAAGACCGTCGGTCGGAGATCCCGCCGCCAGCTTGGCGAGCGTGTGCACTTCTGCGTTCGCTGCGATTTTCCTATTGCGATATACGGCCGCTTGGTACGTTTTAATAATTACTATTTGGAATCAGAGTACTTAATCCAAATCTGTGAAAATTTGTTGTTAAATATGTTATTAGTATATTGTATAAGATGTAGAAGTGTAATTTCTAGGTATTGAATATCAAGTTTGGACGGAAGTTGAAAAATTGAAACAATTTTAGCAGTAAGGAGACTTTCATCAATGGCTAATGGTCGCAATTGTTAAAAAATTATTGTTGTGAGATCCTTAATTGATTGGAATTTGTTTTCTACATATGAAAATATATGCTTTTTTCTCGTTTGCAGAGCCCCTGTGAGCATGCCTTCTGCCTTGATTGTGCAAGGAGCGATTCAATTTGCTATCTGTAAGTAATTACTTTTTTAATTCTTTAATGCAAAGTAGTGCTCAAAGAATTGTAGAATTTTATATCTAGTTTATCCATTTGCTTCTTTTATGGTGTTCATGAGTAATAACAGCTAAGAGCAAAATGCTTCTTAGGGTTTCACAGTTCATAGGAGCAAGACCATTATGATGTGGAAATTTTGATGGTGTTTGTTTTTGGTGGAAGTCCAATTTCGGCTAATTCATGAAGTTATCTTTTATTCAGATTAAACATAATTAATTTGCCATTGACTTAAAAATTAATTTTTCTTATGCTTTTGCATAGTTGTGATGAACGTATACAGAGGATTCAGACGATCAAGATAATGGAGGGGATCTTCATATGTGCAGCTCCTCATTGTCTTAAATCGTTCTTGAAGAGGACTGACTTTGAATCTCATATCCATACAAGCCACACTGACCTTTTACAGCCTAATGCTGAGAAGGAAGATGGTAAAGAATCAGAGGTTCATAGTGGTAACCAACCTACAGGTTCAGATTCCACCGTCCGAGGTCCTCCACGGCCTGTCATTTCTCCTGGTTCAAACCTGCAGCTCCATGATGCCGAAGACAAAGCTCGTTGGCAGCAGCCGAGGGAACAACTGCCTCCAAGGCCAATGATGCCGAAAGGACCACCAGCATATGGTCTAGTGCAAAATTATCCATCAGAGCCCCAACTGGACAGTAACCAACCCCCGGGCTTTGACAGGACTGGCCCTCACCACCACTTTCAGCAAGGCTTTGACAGGCAGGGCACCCCACAACCAGAATCGAGTCAGCTTTCAGACAAGTCGCAGGGGCATTTATCTGAGAACCAGTTTTCAGAATACCCACCTATGCATTCAATGCAGCAACCACCTAATTTTGCTATGCCAAAGAATTCAAATCCCATGTTAACTCCATACGGCGTTCCTCCATTTTCAACTGATGGGACTCAACCATTTTACGGTGCTCCACCAGGTGCTGGTTCTGAGCAAGGGTCATTTATGAGTTTCCCACCAGGTCCAATGGGGGGTGTAAATTACCCTGCAGCTTATCCTCGGCCTTGGAATGGTGGGCAAACTGGTGTCCGATTGGAAGCTACACCTGGTAGTCACATGATGGCAGACGGCTTTGCAAATTATCAAGGTGATTATGGTCGAAATCCTGGAGGTTTACCGATGATTCCTCCCCAACAATCAACCAACAAAGGAATGGAAGCTGTGCAGGGTGGTAATGCAATAGACCCTCGGGACGGCGTATTGGCACCACAATCCATGCAGGTTCCGCCTCCGCCACATCTACATCATATGTCACAACATAAACGAGGCAAGTTCCACCCCGGTGATATGAGTCGAGATGGCCAAGGGTTTGGTGGTTGGCAGCAAGAGAATCGTGATGGCTTTGCAGGACGCCAGAAGTAGAAAATTGCTTGTATTTTTTTTCACATGTGATGTTTTCAGTTTTCGGATATTTGATTAAGCATTGTAACTGGATGACAATTTTCTCAAATTCTTAAGTGCGGTCTCCTCCCTTTTATATTATGACACTTAAGTTTAATAATTAGTCTGCGTCTAGGTGTTCTTTGTTGCAACACAAGGACCAAATTTTAGTTTACTAATTGGCAGGGAAGTACATATTAGAGAGGTTAGTTGATAAGATTTTAGCGGTAAAATTATAAAATTTTAAAGAATAAAAACCTATAAAATTTATAAGACAACAAATTATTAATAGAAATATAAATATTAGATAAAATAAATTATTAATAGAAAATATAAAAATATTTAAATTATACTATGATTTAAAATTTTAAAAATACCTAAATCTAATAATAAGAGTTATTGCATTATGTCTTCAAAGTATGACTTTTTTTAAATTGGTCACTAAAATTTTAAATATTCCAATTTTATTCTTAAACTATGACTATGGTTCTAAATTATTCTTTAAAGTTTTGAACATTTCAATTTTATCCCTAAACTATAACCTTCATTCTAAATTGATCTTCAAACTTTTTAAAAATCCAATTTCATCCTAAACTATACATATGTACTAATTACATTCCTTTTTAATAAAATTGTTAGGCCATATTATATTATTGTATGTTTGAAAAAAATAAAATTTAGGTTAAATTATGGTTAAAACTAATTACATATTTGGATGAAATTGGGATGAAATTGGAATGATTAAAAAGTTTGGAGACCAATTTAGAATAAAGGTTATAGTTTGAGGATGAAATTGAAATGTTCAATAGTTTGACTAATTTAATTTAAGATTAATAGTTTAGGGATGAAATTAGAATATTCAAAAATTTAAGGACCAATTTAAAATAAAAGTTATAGTTTAAGCACATATGATACAATTAACTTATTAAAATTACATTTTTAACATCACTCGTTTATTTTTTCTAAATAATAATTATAATTACGATTCTAATTTTTTTCTATATATATTTGCGATTTTAGTTTCTGATTAGGATTAGATGGTGGATTGTACGCAGTAAGGAAGGCGTAAAAATCGTCAATGTTGCGAGCTTTTGTTTTCAGCTCGAAAATCCTTGAGACTTTGAGAGGAGGAGAAGACAGCAACTGGATCTATACAACCCAAAGCCCGGGGTTCGATTATACCCATTTACCATTTATGATATATTTCCTCTTCTTTCCCCTCGCCAAATTCTGTACTGAAACGAAGATCACAACCATGAATCACTTCGACATTAGGGTTTTCTTTATATTTTTCCTTTTCATCAGCCGCTCCACTTTCTCTCTCGACGATGACTCCAATAATAAATTCCGTCAACGAAAGGCCACCGACGACGAGCTTGGTTATCCCGAACTGTAAGTCCTTTTTATCTCAATTTTATTTTTATTATTTTTCATTTTGGATTTTATCACAGGAGTTATTGTTATTTGAAAACAAATTTTCTGTATATGAATGTGTAGGGATGAGGATGCGTTGTTGAATACACAGTGCCCTAAGAATTTAGAACTTAGATGGCAAATGGAGGTCAGCTCCAGCATTTATGCAACTCCCTTAATCGCCGATATCAATAGGTCGAGTTTACTGTTTCCTTTTGAGTTCGTGTTTTTATCGCATCTAAGCTTTGACTATGTTAAAAATCTCAATTCTTTTCATTTCCCCTTTCGAAAATCTGCTCATCTTTTTTGAGTGAACTCATCATACCGAGTAATTTAACTGACTTCCGCGTGATTGTATAATTTTCAGTGATGGGAAGCTTGACATAGTGGTTCCCTCATTTCTTCACTACCTTGAAGTTTTAGAAGGTTCTGATGGCGATAAAATGCCAGGTACAAGTGCTTTGTTTTCCCCTGATCACGTTAAATCGAACTTATCGATGAATCTAGAGCAATCCGATCGAAGTTGATGTCATTGAGTTTTCAATAATTTGTCAGGTTGGCCTGCTTTTCACCAGTCAACCGTGCATTCTAGTCCTCTCTTGTATGATATTGATAAAGATGGTGTGAGGGAAATCGTTTTAGCCACCTACAATGGTGAAGTGCTTTTTTTCAGGTTGTTTTTCTTAATTATGGCTCTTTAGAGAAAATGCTCTTTATTTGGTAGAGGAACTCATTATTGTGGTGTTGGAATACTAATTTGTCCGAAGGTTGTCTTTTTTAGGGCTTCAGGGTACTTGATGACTGATAAATTGGAGGTACCACGTAGAAAAGTTCGTAAAGATTGGTACGTGGGCTTGCATCCTGATCCAGTGGACCGTTCTCATCCAGATGTCCATGATGATTCACTCATCGAGGAGGCTTCTAAAATAAATGCTATGAATCGTAAGCTATTCCCAAATTTCAATAGTTTAATACTGTTGTTACTTCTTTCTCTAAATTTCAATAGTTTTATACCTTTTTTACTTCTTTCTTAACCTCTTAGATTATATTAGTTTCTAAGGTAGCTTCACTGCACTCCACTCTAATAATATTATGCAGACAATGAACTGGTTCTTTCCTTATTCTGCCTCTAAGTTGCAGCACCCTGTTTCTGATTTTATTTATTTTTTCTGTTACATTGGTTTCATCTTTAAAAGGGAAATTTGAAGCAACTTTACAAGAGCATGGTTTTATTAATATTTTGGACAATTCTTTTTCCATGAAATGACTCACACCATTACGTAATGGGTATCCTTGCAGAAACAAATGAAAGTATACCTAAATCTAACCTTACTGGTTCAACAACTATAGCAAATCACTCTAGCGAAGTTAACTTGTCCAAGGCAGAAAATGAAACGAAAATGAGTGGAAGTCAAATAGAAGATACCATCAAGCTGCCTACTGGTGTTAATGCTTCTGTAAACAGTGGATCAGTGGGAAGCAATGAAACACGTACAAAAACAAGTTCTAGGAGACGGCTTCTAGAAGATAAGACCTCAAAAGATTCCCAGGAAGGTAGCTCTGATTCGAAAGAGAATGCTCAGGAAGCTACTGTGGAAAATGATAAAGGGTTAGAAGCAGATGCAGATCAATCTTTTGAGTTATTCCGTGATACTGATGAATTGGCTGATGAATATAATTATGATTATGATGATTATGTCGATGAATCCATGTGGGGAGATGAGGAATGGACTGAAGGACAACATGAGAAATTGGAGGATTATGTGAATATTGACTCACACATCTTGTCCACTCCAGTGAGTATAAATTTCAATGTGATAATGTGTTTCTTTATAGTGAAAGAACAACATTGATAGACTCTAGTGGAATTCTACTACAAAAGTCACAGAACTTTTTCCCTATTGTCATCAGGTCATAGCAGACATCGATAACGATGGGGTATCAGAAATGATTGTTTCTGTTTCCTACTTTTTTGATCACGAGTAAGTTCCCTTCCTTATGTTTCAATTTGACTCCGTAGTCTAATTTACTCTCAAATGCCACTTGAAATTCATTTAAAGAAAATTGTAGCGTTTTGTTCCCCTTTCATATTTTACTTTTTCAATCTGTTCTAAGCTAGTTTATATTTTGTGGAAGGAGGGATGAGGGATGTTCTTTTACATTAAGTGGCTGAAAAACTGAAAATTATTTGTAAGGTACTATGACAACCCTGAACATATGAAGGAACTTGGAGGTATCGATATTGGAAAATATGTCGCCGGAGGCATTGTTATATTCAATCTTGATACAAAGCAGGTTAAGTGGGCAAAAGACTTGGATTTGAGTACAGATACGGCCAACTTCCGTGCACATATATATTCTTCACCAAATGTTGTTGATTTGGATGGTGATGGAAACTTGGACATCCTTGTGGGAACTTCATATGGCTTATTCTATGTATTGGATCACCATGGTAATCCGTTTAGATTGATGAGCTTTTTCCTGTATTATTATTTTAGATTTCTTACAGTTGGTCTTATATGTGTGATCCATACTCTAGAACATAGCTAATCAATATTTCCCTGCCTGTGCAAATTCAAGTAGTTGTCTACTTTATCCCGATGTTGAAACTACTTTAGCTTATATACATATTTTTACCAAATCTGCATTAGGATTATTCTTTTTCTACATCAATTTATTTCAGTATACATTATTTTGGTTAAATTATGTGGGTTTCATATTTGAATTTGTTGAAAATGTTAACACTGGAATTTTCTACGTGGAACCTTCATTATTATAGTGCTCTGTTTTGTGTTTCTTCTTTTGAAGTTTTTGTCCTCGTGATGCTTGGTGTTTTGCTTTAGAAATAACTTTCCATGCAAAGATCTTCCATCTTTGTTTTTCTTGTTTAATGGCTTTAATTATAAGCAATTATTTTCTCCATTCAATCCAATTGAATCATTCATTTCATTCAGGAAATGTCAGACAAAAGTTTCCTCTTGAAATGGCGGAAATTCAGAGTACTTTAATTGCAGCTGATATCAATGATGATGGCAAGATTGAACTAGTGACAACAGATACACATGGGAATGTTGCGGCATGGACTGCACAAGGAGAAGAAATTTGGGAAGCTCATGTAAAGAGTCTGATTCCCCAGGTGAGTTGTGGTACACTTTCTGTATCTTTGTCCATACATGATACATGGATAGTATGATTAATTAAATATGTAGCTAGTTTCTCTGTATGCATTTACAATCTGGTATTTTTCCGCTACTGATTCTTTTCATTCCTGACAAATGTCATAGTTTGTTATTGCCACTTTTTATTATTGCATCAGATTAGCCATTTTCCAAGCATCCACCTCTGAGTTTGAACTCTAACTTGAACTAAATAATGCATTGAGAAACTAGTGCTGAGCCGATACACGTCAAGATTTATACCTGTTTGAAGTACTTTGAGATCATTGTTTGAATATCATCTCTATCCTCAGGGTCCTGCTGTTGGCGATGTTGATGGAGATGGACACACAGATCTTGTTGTTCCCACATTATCTGGGAATATTTATGTTTTGAGTGGAAAGGATGGTTCAGTGGTTCGTCCATATCCATATAGAACTCACGGGAGAGTTATGAATCAAGTTCTTCTAGTTGATTTAAGTAAACGAGGGGAGAAAAGCAAGGGGCTCACTATCGTGACAACATCATTTGATGGTTATTTGTACCTGATAGATGGACCTACATCATGTGCTGATGTTGTAGATATTGGTGAAACTTCGTAAGTAGATTGTGCATATGCCCTATGGTTTCGTACCTTTCCTAATGTTCTTTCATGTTTCTTTTCTTATATTTGAACCATTTCTTGACAGATATAGCATGGTGTTAGCTGACAATGTTGATGGTGGTGATGATCTAGATCTTATCGTTACAACTATGAATGGAAATGTGTTTTGCTTTTCAACCCCCGCCCCACATCATCCCCTCAAGGCAGGATAGAACTTAACCTGGCATACAATTGATTTACTGTGCATTAAGAATTATATTAATTAATTGTAATTTGTTTCAGGCATGGAGATCAAATAATCAAGGAAGAAACAATGTTGCTAACAGGTACAACCGTGAGGGAGTTTATGTCACTCATTCATCCCGAGCTTTCCGTGATGAGGAGGGCAAAAACTTTTGGGTGGAGATTGAGATTGTGGATAAACATAGATATCCTACTGGGTCCCAAGCACCTTACAATGTCACAGTAAGCCACCATTTCATACACAAATGAAAATTGATAAAAGCAATTCAAATGTTTGTTCCTTTACCTTTCTAAAGTAGTTTACCTTTTCATTCCTTTTTTCCCTCTTGATACTGTGCTGCAACAATGCAGACAACATTATTAGTCCCGGGTAATTACCAGGGAGAAAGAAGGATAAAGCAAAGCCAGATCTTTGAGCATCCAGGAAAATATCGGATTAAACTTCCAACGGTAGGGGTTAGGACTACAGGGACTGTTGTCGTGGAGATGGTTGACAAGAATGGACTCTATTTCTCAGATGACTTCTCCCTCACTTTCCACATGTATTACTTCAAACTTCTGAAGTGGCTTCTCGTCATCCCAATGCTTGGGATGTTTGGTGTGCTTGTCATCCTTCGTCCACAGGAGGCCAGGCCTTTGCCATCATTCTCCCGAAACACCGACTTGTGACCGCTGCCCCATAATGGATCTCAACACATTCTATAGTTTACGTTACTTAAATCAAGGCCACTGACCCAAGATGTCTTTAAGTCTGTTAAAACGAGAGAAGACAGACTAGCTCAAATTTGCTATTTTGTTGCATATACAGTGTTGGCCTTTATAACATTATGATCAAGTATGTGAAAAATTGTAGAATTGTTGTCAAATTTGAATCACTTTTGAGATGAGATAGTTAATTTTGACACGATGCTTTCTGGAATTTAAGTACACAGATTTATCTACAGTGAATAACTGTCAAGTGTCAACCACTTCTTGCTTTGATTTGTTAATTCAGCGGATTGAGATTGGTTTTTGACTTAAAATTTTGGGTTAAGGCTATTTTAGGTTGTATTGTTTTGGATTCAAGTCGTTTCGGTTTAGAATCGCCATGGGCCTAATAATGTTCAAGGACCAAGGGTGGGGAAAAATGTCAAGTTCAACTCCTATCCCTTGAGAAAAAGAAATAATAATTGAAACAAAAGCTAATGCAGATAGAGGGTGAAAATTCAGACTTAAATGGGTACTGATTTTGACCTTTGCTTGAGGGAAAACAATTGCATGTTTCTGTTTTCATTTGCAATAATTTGTTTTTGTTTTCATTTACAATAATTTGTTTTAGTTTTCATTTACAAGCATCGGCCATCAGCCACACTCCCACACCGAGGAAAGTGTCCTGGCTGGCTGGCTGGCAGGGTTGATGCTTACTTCAATACCTATAAACGTTTTCTTATCCAATTAATTATTACGTATCTTACAATTTTTGCCCTGCAAAATACATGAAAAGGGTACTGAATGAGGTTTCCATGCCCAATTGTCAGCAAAAGTGTTCTTATTGGGATTCAACCAAACCATATACAAACTATACCACTGCCTATTTTCAGACAATGGGGTGATGCCATGATTACCAAATGCTCATCAAATATATAACCTTTAACCATACACCATGGCTGACCACTAAGCTTACTCTTGTCTTGGTATCATTTCATTCATCATGGCTGTGGGAGTGAGGGTGTTCTACAAAAGTGATCATATACCTCATATTTAACAATCCAAAGGTTTCCTCTTGATTTTTACATACCTAAAGCTGAACCAAACCTGAATTTGATTTGAATAAAATGATTCTTTAGCTAAAGCATTAACAGCAGAAAACTTAACCCAACATGTCCAACCTATCACTCGGATACCTTAATTATATCTACAGATTCTACACCAACAATAATCCAGCTGAGTTTCAAATGATTGCTGTCCATCAATGTATTCTACTCAATTATTCTTTTCATAAACCCAAGAGAAACCCAAATTAAACATTGTCAGAAGCAAGATGTAAAACAAGAGTTTAGTTATAGCTGACACCATGCCTATAGCAAACATATGAAAAATATAAGTGAAGTGTATCATATGAATTAAACAGAAGGGGAAAAAAAAAGTTTTACACAAGGAAGAACCCTTTAGAAGCCCTGTAATATAGGTCTCTTCCCGAGCCTCTTGATCTCCCTATCCATTTTCCCAGTAAGCATCAATCCAAACATCCTGAAATCACATAAAAGGGACCAAAACGGGTGCCCAAAAGTGACGGGCACATTCCCTTCCACGAAGAAATGACTGTACCAGGCCAATCCATAGCCACATATAGGCACAAACACCAAGAACCACCAGTTAAACAACAAAGAATACACAAACAACACGATGCTCAAGAGCGTGCCGGCAAAGTGCCAGCGTCTTGTCGATGGTTTGGAGTGCTGATTCACGTAAAAGGCCCAAAAATCCTCCAAGCTCCTGAAATTCATCTCCTTGGAAACCCCCAATCGAGATAGTTGACCCCTCGAAAGCACCTGATAAGAAAAAAAGAAGGGACTTCACAAGAAATTAAGCAAAGAAAAATCCAGTCTCGATTTGGTTTGGCTGATAGGTTTCGGTTAAAAATAACAAAAAATAAACAGAGTTCGACTGGGATTTTCCCAAACCCAAATCGAGAAAAACTATAAAGACGATGGGATTGTTTCAGATAAAAGGAACCCGTCACCCCCGCTCATAAAAAAGGATGAAACTTTGGGTGGATTTTGATGTAAATAAGGATGTAATAAAATGAAGAAGAAAGGTGGAATCCTGAGTTGCAAAATAAGAAGAGTGAAGAGTTGTTGTCTATGGAGGTGGAGGAATCAAAGTAGGTTTGGAGGGTCTTCTGCAACAATTATAATTGGTTTTGTCAGCTGAGATACGTGATGGATAAGAATTTGGACTTTTCTTTTTATGGTTTTCCACTTTATTTTTTGTTATTTTTTAGTTAATAATATGCATACATTTTGTGCTTAAATTCTGGTTTTTAACTTTTAGTAATATTAACTATGCTGAATTTTAAAATTATCTCGATTTTAATTTAATAAGAGTATTGAATTTCAAATATACAAAATAATTTCTTTTTGCCGTTTACGAAGCTGATAGAGTTTTGGTGGAGTAAATTACCATAACATGTTTAATTTCGTGTAAAGGAGACTTTGATATTTAAATAATCATCTGTCTTTGTTTTCAAAGTTCAATATGTTATATTATTAACCAAATTTTCAACTTTTATCTTATTTTTTGTAGAAAAATTTTGTTGTACTGTCCTTTTTTAAATAAAATTATCGTATATTTAAAATGTTCGATTGAGGTAGTTTAAAATGTATTAAAAATAATAGACAACAAACATTTTAACCTAAAAATGTTTGAATTTCATTTGAAAATTCATCATAGGATGATGTTTTAATATTAAAAATCTAAGTTTTTCATTTAACAAAAAGTTGAAATATTTTATATTAAATTATTATTAATTTTTTTCAGAAGTCATAGCCCATAGATGCTATGGATGAATTTTCTTTTGGAGGGGAAGAATTCATTGAAAAAAAATTTGATCTAGAATCACCTTTTTCTTGGCATCTTACTCTTTAGTTTCATTAATGACAGGTAAATGCCTCATTTTTTATAAAGTTGCACAGTTGACTTAAACTCTGGTCAATGGTCCCAACTTGTCCAACTTGTTTGTCGACATGAAAGAAGGAAAAACAAAGAGAGAGAATGAAATTTGGTTTTATTTCATTTTCATGATTTCATTACCAAGTTCCAGTAGCAGGAAATCAATCAAATATATGAGCAAGGTGTAAGAAAAAAATGGAATTATGACCCTTAACATTCGATTAAATTATCATTCTGATGCTTAATATTTCATTTTGAGATAATCAAAAGTCCCTCTTAGTCAATAAATTGCTAATGCTTCAAAATAAGTCTTGTTGCCCCCAAAATGAAACGTCGGGATTAAAATATTCCAAAAATAAGAATAAGGACTAAAATAATTATTTAGTCAAATATTAAACGTTTTTTTATCTTAAAATAAGATGTTGTAAGTCAAAATATTTAATAATAATAATAATAAGGATTAAAATTTAAAATAACTATCTAGCAAATCTTATATTCATTCTACTAAGATCTGAAGAAATTTCTTATGGATAAATACATCAAGTATAATGGAGAAAGATGTAAACTCGAAACAGATAAATACACTCGCTATATCAATCAAGCCTATATAAGTTTACACCACCAAAACTGCAGGAACCCTGTATTTGTGATGATTTATGTTCATCATCGACGACACTAGAGAACTTGGTCCCCAGTTGCAAACAGATTCCAGAAAATGGTTGTGATGAAATAGAGGCAAGCCGTGACCGAGAGGAATGCTTGGAATGATCCTAACCACTCTACAAAATAGCCGGTCCCAATGGTGCTGATAATGGCCGCCACTGTCCCTGCTGAATTTGATACACCATGCAGAAATCCTGCATACTGAGGTGCAATATCCTGATGAAATAAACCGAACAAATAGCGTTCAGTTTAATGGTCGTCGGTAGATCCCTTCGTTCGGACAAATTTATATATTGTTTCATGGTTGAGAACTTACTTCTATGTTGAGAAGGAAACCAGCTTGGCTGAAAGAACTCAAGCTCAGAGCTGCTGTCATCAATACGGAAGCGATTTCGGGTGACTTTGAGAAGTTCAAGCAGAGCAGGGACACCCCGGGGCCGATGAAGCCTGTGGACTGTTAACATTTACACTTGCACATCAACCGTTTGCCATTTTTCAAAACAGTGTGATGTTTAAGTAGCTTTGGATTGGATGTATGTACCTGCATGATCTTGCGAACCGATGTTATGGAGTAGCCGGCCTTGATTAGAGAATCTAATATTGCTCCCGCGACGTAACTCGAAACGGCCATCGTCCCCCATGGGACTGCGCTAAACCAAGCTGCTTGTTTCAAGTTCACATCTGACGCCAGACAGAATAGTGATTATCCTGTAGGCTAGCTCCGACAGACGATTCACAAGAGAAAATTCGCCCAAAAACCAGAGAAAAAAAGTCTCTAGGGTTTAATAAAATATTATAAAATCAATAATGCCAAAAAGCAGTCCACAAGCCGGACTGTTATAGCCAAAAATCGTCTTTATTAGAATTTTGCCAAAAATAGCAAAATCCCGAAAATCACTCTAAATTAAAATTCGAAATAAAATAAGCAATCTCCCAAAAATCCGGCCTAAATCGGATTTAAATTGACTTCCTAATTAACAATCGAAATATTACCATAAATAGTAAAAAATAACTAAATCTAGTGATTCGGAGGGGAAAACGGAAGAATTTGAGGTTGAAAAAAAGGCCACATGGAGCATAGCTCAATGTGGAGAGCGTGCGCGTCGAAAAGAGCTTTCCGGATTGGGGTCTTATGCGCGATTCTGACACCTGTAGCCAAAGTTATGGCCAAAAGACTGAAACATACTCAAAACGACCCCAATGAGGAACATGTCACAATCAATTCCCGCCTTTGCGCTGATCTGCCAACTCATGGTATCTCAGCGCCATCAACGTGCAATCTGACAGCTCAGCATCATCTGTCTCGGATCTCCCTGCATCAGTCGCCCCGGGTTGGAAAGAACTCGTCCTCGAGTTCAGAGTAGTGTCATCAGGATCCACAAAACAATGACTCAGGTGCTTCACATTAAAGACATCAGAAGTCTTCAAGTGACTGGGAAGTCGCAACCTGTAAGCATTATCATTGATCTTCTGCACGACCTCACAAGGTCCAATCTTCGATCCTTAAGCTTATTATACTCACCAACAGGAAAACGATCACGAGTTAATACAGCCAAACAAAATCACCAACATCAAAAAGTACCTGACGACGATGATTGTCGACCCGAGTCTTGTACTTGGTATTGCTTTCATGAATGGTCTGTTTCACCTGCTCATGGATACCCCGAAGATACTTTGCCATCTCATCTGCTTTAGGACTGAAACGTCCTATACGTGGAATAGGGGCTAAGTCCAACACCCGGATGGGTTCTGACCATAGACAATCTCAAATGGGCTTAAACCTGTGGTTCTGTTTTTTGATCTGTTGTAGGCAAATTCTGCCTGAGGCAATGCCAAATCCCACTGCTTCGGCTTCGTTCCTGCCAAACACCTTAAAAGGTTTCCCAAACTTCGGTTCACCACCTCAGTCTGGCCATCCGTCTGGGGGTGGTAGGCGCTACTGAAATTCAAATGTGTTCCCAGTTTCCCCCACAGGCTCTTCCAGAAATGGCTGATGAACTTAGTATCACGATCTGAAGTGATGGATCGAGGAACACCATGTAAACGCACAATCTCCTTGAAATAGAGATGGGCAATCCGGTCAGCATCCATAGTCTTTCTGCAAGCTACAAAATGAGCCATCTTGGAAAACCTGTCAACCACAACAAAGATAGAATCAGAGGCCCTTTGGGTGCGGGGTAAGCCTAGTACAAAATCCATGCTGACATCGAACCAAGGAGCTTCAGGAACAGGTAAGGGAGTGTACAATCCCGCATTGGTGAGAACTCCCTTAGACCGCTGGCACACATAACAACGGTCCACATAATGGGCCACATCACTAGTCAACTTGGGCCAATAAAATTCAGAAGAGATAAGGGCCAATGTCTTATCTCGGCCAAAGTGTCCCTCATTATGGAGTTCACTTATAATTTGCTGCCTCAATGAACAATCTGGAATGCACAATTGTAATCCACGAAACAGATACCCATTATGCAAAACAAAATCATGACGGTGACCCTCAGTTACCTCCTGAAATATCCTTCCAAAGGAAGGATCAGCTGCATACATATCTGTGAACGTCTCAAATCCTGCAACTTTAGTACTCATGGTGGTGAGAAGTAAGGTACGACGGCTCAGGGCATCTGCGACGCGGTTCAAACTCCTGCTTGGTGCCTCAGCGTAAAAGTGAATTCTTGCAAGTATGCTACCCACTTGGCATGACGTCTACTCAGCTTGTGTTGGCCATTGATGTACTTCAAGGCCTCATGATCGGTAAACAGAATAAACTCCTTCTGTACTAGGTAGTGACGCCAATGCTTCAGGGACTGAACTATGGCATAGAACTCCAGATCATAAGTGGAATAATTTTTCTTTGATCCCGATAGCTTCTCACTGAAAAAAAGCAACCGGACGACCTGCCTGACTCAGAACACCACCAATGCCAACGCCAGATGCATCACAATTTACCTCGAACACTTTGTCAAAATCTGGAAGTGCCAAAACTGGAGCCTCGGTCATCTTCTGCTTGACCAGTTGAAAACTGGCCTCTGCCTCCTCAGACCACTGGAAATCACGCCCCTTGAGGCACTCTGTGATAGGGGCGATCAGAGTACTGAAATTTCTAATGAATCGACGGTAAAAAGACGCCAAGCCATGGAAACTTCGGATGTCATGTAAGGTTCTTGGTCTGGGCCACTCCAAGACTGCATCTATCTTTGACTGATCTGCATGAACACCATCAGTAGACACAACAAAACCAAGAAAAGTCACAGAAGTAGTGAAGAAAGAACACTTCTTTTGATTGACAAACAAGCACTCCGTTTTCAGCATCTCAAAAACAGCACGGAGGTGATCGAAGTGTGAAGTCCATGTCGGACTATAAACGAGGATATCATCGAAGTAAACTACAACAAATTTCCCCATAAAAGGCCGCAAGACCTGATGCATAAATCTCATGAATGTACTGGGCGCATTGGATAACCAAAAGGCATGACCATCCACTCATACAACCCTTGTGGCGTTTTAAATGCCGTCTTCCACTCATCTCCAGGCCTTATTCTGATTTGGTGGTAACCGCTCT